GGTTCACGTTATGACATCCCAGGTATGGTTGGATGAGAGTGCCAGGTATGGGTTCACGTTGTGACATCCCAGGTATGGTTGGATGAGAGTGCCAGGTATGGGTTCACGTTATGACATCCCAGGTATGGTTGGATGAGAGTGCCAGGTATGGGTTCACGTTATGACATCCCAGGTATGGTTGGATGAGTGTGCCAGGTATGGGTTCACGTTAAGACATCCCAGGTATGGTTCACGTTATGACATCCCAGGTATGGTTGGATGAGAGTGCCAGGTATGGGTTCACGTTATGACATCCCAGGTATGGTTGGATGAGAGTGCCAGGTATGGGTTCATGTTGTGACATCCCAGGTATGGTTGGATGAGAGTGCCAGGTATGGGTTCACGTTATGACATCCCAGGTATGGTTCACGTTATGACATCCCAGGTATGGTTGGATGAGAGTGCCAGGTATGGGTTCACGTTATGACATCCCAGGTATGGTTGGACGAGAGTGCCAGGTATGGGTTCACGTTATGACATCCCAGGTATGGTTGGATGAGAGTGCCAGGTGCTCTGGTTTTCTGTCTCAGAAGCCAAGAGCTAAGAAAATGGTGGAAGCCACTGTCAGGTTGGTAGCCTTATACAGTCAGAAAGATAAAGAATGTAAGGTTTTGAGACTCCTAGTCTTTCTTTTGAAAGCTGCCACTAAGTATGATTTTTGTTGAAGTGTCCAACAGCGCAAAATAATGTCTTTGTGAACAGCAGCTGGTGCTTGAAGAGACTTTGCGATGCGATCGGCACCATCAGTGATGAGTTTGGCTTGTTTTGCTGGCATCAGTGTAGCCATTAATCGCAAAGAACAAGGCAATTCTTCATAGAGCAAAGTCCAAGACTCCCATTATTTTTATATTCTTCCGATAACCTTTTTATCCAGGTTATCAATATGTAAAGTTAGGGAAGAATGCTGGGTTTGCAGTTGTTGGACCCGTTCCCACCAAATAATTCAGGCTCAGCTTGAGTTCCATTAAGTCCTCCACCAAGGCTTTAATTCAGGTAGTGACCGTCTATATTTCCACCTTCACGAATGCTATTTCAGCCGCAAACAGTGTTTAAATGTCTGAAAATGTATTCTGGATATCTTGTTTGGTACTTGGGGCTGCACTGTCCTGGTCCACTGAGGCAAATCTTACTGTTTTTTTTTTAAATTCTTTCTTTTATTCAGGCAAGATTTCGGCCTGAATAAAAAAAAATTCAGAAGAAGTTGAGGTTAGTACACATGAAAAGTTAACAATAAGATATACAAGTGCTTTGCATGTAGCACCAATGCCCTAGATGTTCTGCCCCCTTTTATGTTTTGTAAAAGTAAGGTAGCAAAGAACAACAAAATAATCTAGGTAGAGTCCACATAAAAACTGTCATGTTAAACAAACTGTAGTAGTGTCAGTGTGGAATCCCCCTCCTTAGCCGTGCTCTGGTGTGTAGATAAGTAGGTAGTGGCATACGAGATGGGGAAGAAGGAGGGGAGGTATAGTGGTAAATCAACTAGGTACAAAGCAATGGTCTGGTGGAGTGAGAGGCGCAGCCAGGCGTAACCCCTATGTGTGTATAATGGTGTCAGAAGCTTTATAGGAGTGAAGGATCCTTATGTGTCTATCTCATAAGGCATTGAGAACATGGTAGTGTTTAAAGAAATAAAAAACTGCTGTCAGCTGTGTGAGAATGAAAACATAAACGTAATAAGGGAAACTAAAATGATCAAAAGAACTGGTGGTAAAAGAGAGTAAATCTCTGTGGTGTTGGGGACCTGACTTTCAGCTTTGAGTCCTTTTCAGGTATTCAGGTCACTGCTCTGGAAGACAATGGAGCCTGTGTGGATCGGGGGTGAATTATTTTATCATTGCTGGATCTAGACGAGACAGGGCCATTGTAGCTAATGCGGTCTGGATGAGAAGGCCCATCTTGTGGAGGTGGTCTTCCAGATCCTGCAATGTGCTCGCATGGCAAGTTTCTCCTTGGGCAGTAAATATCAGGGCTCTTTGTAGGTCCCAGCGATAGGGAATGTTCTTTGCTCTCATGAGCTGGAGGAGAGGGCGCAAAGTCCGGGAACAATTGTAAGGTAGCGCCCTCAAACTGCAGTGAGTTATTTTCCCTGACAGCTGACAGAAGTAAGGCCCGGTCTTATAGAAACTGAAATCGGATTTTGTTATCCGGTGTGGTCGTCAGTGGCGCGGTCACCGGCTTAGGAATGCGGAACACACCATCTAGTTTTACAGCCCTGGCCTGTTTAGGTGGCCGGTTGGCAGCCAGAAATCTTCTAATGAAGTGTGGTAAGTCTATGGGGCTCAGGAACTCCAGCACTCCTTTAACCTTGAGGTTATATCTCCTCCGTTGGTCTTCCAGGGCATCCACCCTGTCCGCGGTTGCTTTCTGCTGCCGGTGGAGTTCCTCCAATTGCTTCTCCATCTCGGAAAGCCTGGTATCCTGTTTGCTGTGGGAGGCCTCCAGGTCGGCAATCTTTGCGTGCGCACCGTCAACCGTTTTCTGGAATTGGACCATGTCACCGGCAATGTTAGCTCAGAGCTCCGCCAGCATCTTCTTTAGTAGGGATGTGGTTACAGGTTCTCTATCCTCCATCAGAGGCAGCCGGGGTCCTATCTGCATGCTGTGGGTGCTCCTCTCTCCCAAGTCCAGAAGGTTTTTAGATGAGCACAATGAACCCCCATCGAAGTGCGCCATCTTGTCCCATTTGGCCCTCTGGGAGTTGCAGAACAATTCGACGATATCCTGGGCCTTTGCCCGATCTGGGTTTCTTATTTTTCCTACCCATGTCGGTTTTGGTGGGTGAGTACTCCTTTAACCTTGAGGTTATATCTCCTTCTGTTTTGCAGGTATTTCACTCTGTTTAACAGCTTTTTCAGGGTATTCTTCACAGAGCACCTGGAAGATGCGGCCTTTCAAGTCGACAGCTAAGCTCCGCCAGCAAATCTTACTGTTTTGTGGAAGTCTGTTGCTAGGTGTTCTTCAACAACCCCATCATCTGACTGTGAGTTGTAGACCTCCAAGTTTCTGTGCCATTAGTTCATGGAGTGCAATGCAGTAGGGTGCCAATGTTTCAGCACCTTTTGATGTGGCTGGCTGTGACTTCTAGGACCTGAGTTAATTTCTTCATTCATGGTTTTTTATTTCCCAGTAAAATATAGTGAACTGAAAACTTACTTAAATATTGAGTAGGATTTTACAATTTGGTTTAAAATTCCCTATTATTTGGTGTTTGGCCGATAAACCCCACTGTCTAATATAATTTTGTGTATTTATATGTGGTGGGGGGGAGGAGCGGGGTTTGCATGTTTGTTTGTCCCTCAGTGCCTGTCTCACAGTAATTAATTAAATTAATGTTTCTCTAAACTTTGGTTCCTTTTCGATGGACTTAATAAAGTACAAATCCCTTGATTGCAGAAATCTAATACAACAAACAGTATGTTAATTAACTGCAAAGTAATGGCTTGTTTCTAGGTTTTGTTAAGGTACAGGTGATGGATATAGTTTTGTCCTTCTCGTTGGTCGCAGGTCCTCGTGTCCTGCAGACGGAAACCCTAGCTGTTTGGGAGTAATTTCCAGGTATATCCTCATCTGTTGTGCTGCAGGTAATTGTCTGAATCTAATTAGTCTGTGCCAGTGAATGGAAACACTATCTGCCCCAGCTCAGAGGTGCCTTTTTCACAGTTTCCTGTCGGCGTTAGTAACTGTAACTCCCAAAGAAAACAATTTGCCCTAATGAGCGGAACAACGAGATGAAAACAGGCAGTTTGCAAAGCAAAACCTGCCCGTCATCACCTCCTAATCCACTTACTGAGGCTCGAGGAAGAGCCCATCTTCAAAGCGTTTCCTAAATAAATGCATCACTCCTAACCTGCATCCACCATTCAATGATCGTTCTAATAAAAACCTGCATTCACCACTTTGAGTAAATGGTCCTAATTTCAGTGCATGGGAACACCTGAAACAGTTTTCTTTGTTGATGTTGTTTGTTGGGGGCTTATTGTTATCTGTTTTTCAATTGATCTTATTTTTGGGGTGAATAACATGCACGTTTAGTAACAAGAAGTGCTGGCCAAGATTTTTATAATCCCCTCTGTGATGTCTCCCCCATATCTGGGACTTCCCTGTTGGGAATGTAATTTTCCACCATCCACAGCACAGCCTGTTGTGTATTTTTATTTGCGTTCTGTTTATTCAGGGTTACCGAAGTCCTTCAATGAAAGGTGGGCATGGTGACCACGTTACCAGCTTTCTTCTTGTGTCTGTGCTCCATGCCAGCTGCTTTAATAAAGGCCCGCGTTCAGTTCCTTAAAAAGATTCCTAGGGGTGTCAGCGTGCCAGGTAGGAGACCTGGGAGAGAAAGGTTCAAGTCTACCACCAAGTCCACCACAGATGTTTGCTTCATGTAAAAGCCAATTATGTTTAACTTTATAAGTTCATTTGTGTTCAGAAGTTTGCTTCCTAATGGCAGTTCTGTGATTTTTTATCTCAGATTTGGTTCTTGGTGTTCTTTAACCCCTTAAGGACCAAACTTCTGGAATAAAAGGGAATCATAACATGTAATGTGAAATAAAAACAGTATCAGCGCTTAGGTAATATACCCCTATTTTTTGTATAGGGGTCAACCACGAAAATATATTAAATTAAATAAAGAGTTCCAGTTGCAGTCTTAGTGGGGTGTTTTCAAATGTCCGCAGGGATTTGATAGTTGTAACAGAAATTGATGTAGAAAGACTTTGTCTCTATATGTATCCAACCTTTAATAAAAAAGATACTGACATAGCGTGATACAGTTACAACATTTTATTTCCCATACGGTAATCCCCCCATAAGAGGAACTCTTACAATAAAAAGTGGTGAAACTTATTTCTAAGGTTCACAATAAAAGCGTATATATCTCTATCAATTAAGATATATATGTAACCACAATCCCCCAGAACACTGTATCTTGAGAAAGCTCGTTTGAACGAGCGAAACGCGTAGATCGTGTTTCTGGCGGGATTTTTGAATTTGGAAAGACTGCAGTAATATCGGTTAGTTGGCGTCTCAGTGAGGATCGATCCGAGTGCACAGGACCGGTCTGGGATTAACATCCACGGAGCGGTAACTTTATATTCACCAACCAATATTCTGCATTTCTACGCTTTTATTGTGAACCTTAGAAATAAGTTTCACCACTTTTTATTGTAAGAGTTCCTCTTATGGGGGGATTACCGTATGGGAAATAAAATGTTGTAACTGTATCACGCTATGTCAGTATCTTTTTTATTAAAGGTTGGATACATATAGAGACAAAGTCTTTCTACATCAATTTCTGTTACAACTATCAAATCCCTGCGGACATTTGAAAACACCCCACTAAGACTGCAACTGGAACTCTTTATTTAATTTAATATATTTTCGTGGTTGACCCCTATACAAAAAATAGGGGTATATTACCTAAGCGCTGATACTGTTTTTATTTCATTTTATGTTGTGTATGATGTTTTAAAACTTGGGAAGGTTTTTAGTGTATCGGGCAGCTTTGTATATCAACTTTTTATTGTGGATAATTGTAATTTGAAGCATTTGCTTAGAAAATCCACTATATTATTGATTTTCTTTTGTGCTCTCTATAAACCTGTTTTTTTATGACACGTAATGTGTTCTTAAGGGGTTAAAGGTCACACTGGCACTTATTTCGTCTTTTAGTTTCCGGGTGCAGGAGTCTTCATTTCTGCCAATGGCCACTCGAGTCATCAATGAAGCTTTCTGCTCTTCACATAGAATGTTGAGAAAAAGAAGAGATGTGTCAGGTGCTCACTCCAAAGAATAAACAATAAAATAGGCAGCAGTAACAAATACAAGGATTCCCAGCCTTGTTAGAACAGTAGTATAGGAGAAAAGGGAGGAAACCGCGCCTTACATAAATTATATATACATACACTTGATGTCTCTTAGTAGATTCGGATAATTTATCCTCAAAAAGAAAACAGAAAGAGTATATACAATAGTGTAGTATGTTAAATAATATTAGGAAAAAGTGATAAATAAAACGGAGGTATTTTTCACTCACATTTGGTAGAGCTACTGTGGGAGCTCTACCATAATTGGCATGGACGGTAAAATCCCCGTCTTAGGATAAGAAGTCCAACGTCTTAGGTACTCCAATGGTGTAGTAGTGCAGATAAAAATGGAAAACAAGAAACTCCAATAGTGTAATAGTTCCAACTCCAAGTATAAATGGATAAATAGAAATATATATACTCACATTTACTAGAGCAGAAAACTTGCTCTAGTTTATAAGGCTTGCAGTGGTATAATCCCCACTGTAGGATATACAAGCCAGGAAGTAAGATGGTGCAAATAAAATATAATAAAATGGAATATA